AGTCTGTTATGGTAGGTGGGCAGGCGACTGGGGGCAACAGTAAGTTACGCTTTTGCTTCCGTCCCGCACGGTCTCAGTGCCCGTCCCAGCTTTCATAGCCGCGAGGTAAAAAGCCCTTCTGGCCTCCTTTCCTCATGTGAACGTGAGAGGGGAGTCTAGTTATCCTGGCTAGTCTTAAGTGTAATCCCCAGAATTTTTTATTTCGTTCCTTCGAGTCAGTCTCGACTCCAGATGGCTGCCTGGAAAAGTCCCTGCAGTTTCACCAGAGTAGTTTCAGACCATTTAGCATCTAGCGGGTATGACCTTTAGCTAACACCTGAATACTCTGTTAAGTATTAGATATACTATGCAAGTGTAACATGAAAATTTAACTTGTTGCTTGATAATCAGTCTGTGAAATTGACTTTCTGTCTTCATGTACATAGAAGGTATATTGGAAAGGTCTGTCAAGTGTATGGTTTTCTGCACAGAGGACAGTGAGACTTAGTCTTTGTGGCAGTGTATATAGTGGGGAATCAACAGGAATATGAATATTACATTATCATTTGAAAAACCTACTGATCAGAGTTGTTGATTGATAATATGCCATCAAGTCATTCTCAACTCCTAGCAACCACATAGATAGATTTTCTCCATGACAGTCTATCCCTAACCTGTTCTTTCAGGTCTTCCAATGGTGCAGTCATCACCACTGTAACTGAGTCCAACCACCTTGCTGCTGATCATCGACTTCTTTCTCTTTCCTTCCATATTTCCCATCATTAGAGCCTTTTCCAGAAAGCTAATTTTTCAAAGTTGTTAGCTTTATAGTAATCTAATTATAAATGGAATTTGACAGATTGAAACTATTTGGCATGTTCATTTGGAACAATAAGCTAGAATTCTGGAGGACTACGACTTAATGAATTAACCATTTATTGATCCAAGCAGTCCATTGACTTTCATTTCACTCTTGTCTGATATCATTACTACTCACCTACAGCTCCTGATTTTTGCTCTGCATTGTAAATCATGAAAAAGCAGTAGTTTGTGATACTGGCTTAAAAGGGGACAAATAGCCAAGAATCTTGATTTGAGTGATAAAGAAAACTCATCATTTCTATTTAGTGCTGCAGTTGCAGAAGAAAGGAAAGTAGGAACTTTCAGTAACAAGCCAAGATTCATTGTTATTGTTCCATATGAATGTTACCAACATATGTGAAGTATTTGAAGAGTTGCAAGAGTTGATGTCTTCATAAGTTGCCAGGTCTTACAACTTTTTTCAACAAAGTAGATCACTGACAAAATTGATTACAAGAATGTTTAATAAACTTGTATCATTAGCAGTGCTTAATTCCTAACAAAGTTTATACTGATGACGAATCTGCCTAAAATACATGTTATTTTCCCTTTGAAGACTTGCTGCTTAGTTAAAATACCCAAAATATTTCACAGAAAATTAAGAATATAATGAAGGTAACTTGTGCACCCTGAATAACCTTTCTTACGTTTTCAGACTTTCCTGTTCTTTTTAAATACTGTATCCCATTTTTATTTTTTTTAGTAAATAAACTGTTCAAAGCAGATTACAAAATACGCATGTTAATGTGCTTTATTTGTTTTACAATCTAAAGATAGCCGAAGGAATCAAAACCCTAACTCCACCCCCCCAAAATGTTCAATAAAGTTTTAAAATAGCAGAATAACATCTGCTTAATAAGAAGTATTTTCATTTGATTGCAGAACAAAGATGAGTTAATGATTTGGAATATATAGTTTCCTATATGTGGCACTTGAAAAAGCCCTTTTGCAGATTACCCTAATCATGACTGAAGAAAATAATACATGTAAAAGATATTTTAGGTGATCCTAAAAATCAGAATGATGTATAAGGAGATAGCCAAATGCAAATTCATTTAGGCTCTAAAAGTGATCATCACTAACAAGCTAATGTACATGATATAATTTATTATTTTTAGTAAAACTCAGGTCTGCCACAGTATTTACACTGAACAATCTACAATATATTAGCTGATAGACAAATTCATACAACTATTTTTTTCAGATTTGTTTTATATAGGTAAAACATTTTAGAAACATATTGTGTGGAACAGGTTTCATTTTTTTTTATTTCCATGTTTTTAAATTTTACTGGTTTAATTAATTTAGATAGTTGCTTTAGGTCTGTCAGGTGTGCAGATTTGGTTGGCCATAAATAATAGGATGTCTGATTTAAATTTGTTATAGCCACCCACTCCATTGGACTGTGTTGGAGGCAGTGAGCTGCTATATGCATATTTCAGCTACCATTTTCTGAGAAAACAGGATGAGAGCTTAAAGTTCTGATTTTCAGCAGAGCGTTTTCTGACTTTCTTATCTGGCAAGCAATATATTTGAGACTGAACCATTTTGAATCTGAAGTATCATGTTTTGACCACAGAATGCCTTCCACCACAAAATAGTTGTGTTTGTGTGCAAAATGAGCTGTTGTGACATTTTGAAGTGTTTTAGACTCAAAACAGCCCATTACATGCTTGAAACATTTTGTACATCCCTAATACTTATCCATTATACTTTTTTTTCTTGAAGACTTGCTCATATGCTGAATACATATAGTAATTACAGTAATAGAATAGTAGGTCTTTAAAGTATCATCAGTTGTAATATCCACAAAGGAAAAAGTATAAAACATTTATGTATTGATAACGTAGGTAATATCACGATAGGAATCAAGAAAGTTCTTGCTCTTTATGAGACCTAATTAACCAGATTTGAAACTCAAGACAGCTTGTTTCTGGTTTGCTTGTATTTCTAAAATCCTGAACTATATTTTTCAGATGGGACATCCAGGCATGCCTCACTACCCACCCATGGGAATGCATCCTATGGGCCAAAGGCCACCCAACATGCCTCCAGGATCTCATGGAATGATGCCTCAAATGATGCCCCCAATGGGAGGACCACAAATGGGACAGGTAAGCTGGCTTCTGTGATTTTGTTATATAAACTATTTTAAAACGAAATAGTAATTTCAATCTTTTTAAGACTTTCCATAGGTCATTAGGGATTGGCACTGATTCTCCTTAATTTCTTTTTTTATTATTCCTGACTTATTTGAATCAGAAGATTTTTTTTTCTTAAGCGGTCCAGTTCTTTTCTGCGTAACAGTTGGGATAGGAAGGTATTTTGGCCTCATATTTGATTGAATCCTACTTACTCCCAAATGTATTTCTCTTGTTTCTCAGAAATTCAGAAAATTATGCCAGTAAGTAGTTTAGCCCTTTCCGTCTGGGCTTTTATTTTCTCATTTGCAAAGGCTTTAGCTTTTTGTGTTCAGTGTTATGTAGCAGAATAAAAAAGAATATCCTTTGCTTACTGATCTAGGTAGTAATCTCAGTCCTGTCCATAGTTACACTAATTCAGACCTTGAATTTTAAAATCACCGTTAGTGTTAGTCTTGCCACTAGTGCAAAAAGCTTTCATTTCTTTTGTGATGTTAAAGATGAATAAAGGGCATTCTGTCCTCATATGGCATTAAAGGTCATGTAGGTCCTTTGCATTGGGGACAGGATCATAATTTGTCAGTGCAGGTACATGTAGTTTAAACAAGGATCAATGGTGAATAGGAAACATGAAAAGTAATTTGAGCAGTTCAGCTATTTATCTTATTACCCACTAATTGTAAAGCCCCCAAACATCAGCCTATTTAACTTAGCTGATCAAATTCCCTAGGCTATTACTTTGAATTAAATTGTTGTTCTGCTCATGTTACAGTTGCCTAGCATATTTTATTGTTTGGCCATGATATGGAAATCATAGAATGCAAATGGGGGACAAAGCAAACAACTTGGGGATCTTGCACATATTACTAGAAGTGAATTTCAAGAAATATAAGGTAGGATGTATATGTGTTTGGTACTTAAAATATGGAGAGTTATGTCTTGGATATGAGGCTGTTGTCCCATTCATTTAGACAACCCAAGTACTTTCTTCAAGGAATATTATCTTTCTGTTTAAGGAAGAAACTAACAAATCTTTAAAAACTCTTTTTTTATTCTTTTGGGGGCTACAGTGTTCCACCTGAAATTTGTCCAGTTTATTTCATCATATTCCACTATAGTTTATCCTTATTTAAATAATATTTTTTCCTGTTGATATTGGTGTTTCCTTTCTCCAGGCATTGATTTATAGATACTTTGAGTCTGAGAACCAAGTGATATGTCAGAAAAGTAAGGCTATCTCAAAGCACTTAAAGCAGGATTACCGCTCAGAGACAGTGGGTTGTATATCCATGTGTTGAGAGCCACCACATAGTTGATAAACCCTGGAGCTTTGTGGCTTTCCTAAAACATGGATTTATCAAGCAGAAATGTTTTGTTTTATGTGGCTAGAATATAATTGGTGGCCTGTGTTCTGCAAGTGTTTCTAAAACGACTTGGATGGAGATATTTAGGGAGCATCTCTTGGTTGGAACACAGTTATTTGGAAGCAGCAGTGGGGCAAGACTCCTTTCTTCTCCTGCTTCTACAGGATGGTGGGGAATGGGAGGGCCACTCCCATTCTTTCTTCTCTTCCTCACGCTTCCAAGAAAACCTTGTGGATTGAGGGTGGAGCAGTAGCCCTACCAAATACCTCTCCCTCCACACAAGATGGAAGGTAAGAGGGAGCAATAACCTGATGCTCCCTGAAGATACATGGGAATGGGGTTATTTGGCCAACCCTCCAGGGATTGTCATTATATATTTGGGGGTTGATTTCCCTAGAACTATTTGTGGGATCTGCCAACAAAATTGGCTGAATATGGCCAATTAAATATATTACTAGAGCTTGTGCAATCTATTGCCATCTTCTTAGTCCCCAAAGAGGACTGATGAAAAAATATCACAAATAAAACTTCTGCCTCTCTTTCAGAAACTCATTTCTGGTTAAAGGCCATGTGCATACACAAGCAAATTAGTTCTGTGTGATAAATGCCTTGGGTCTTTGCCCAAGCTGGCTTGTATTAGACCCTTGTGTAATTATTGTCTTGCAACATCATTGTCAGAGTAGAATTATCCCTCACTATATTTACATTGATTTAAGGAATAAGGAAAATGATATGGTTTTAATTGGTTAAGGTAGTTTGCATCCTTGTTGCATGCCTTTCTCCGCTTTTTAACAGTTCATGTTTTTGAACCCTGCAGTCATAATTCTTAAACTTTATAGTTCTCTTCATCTTGGAACATCTTTGCAACATAACTCTTACTCCAGCCCTGTGAGACAAGTTCTTCAGGTATTATCCTCTGTTCATAGATGAGGTAAATGAGCCCTCAAGATTAATAGAGTTTACATAGGTCACAGGGAATTGGTTTGGGAACTAGAATTAGAGGTTTTAGAGTTTTAAATGCTTTGGGCCCCATTCCTTCAATGACTTGCAAATAGTCTAATGTTTGGGGTTTTTAATAATAAAACACAAGCCGATGGGCCCATATTCTTGTTTATCTTTCTGCTTTCCCTCTGCACCAGTCCTCCTCTTTCTTCATATTTTGTCTTGGGTTCCCTTTTGAAAGACCATCAAGTGTAGACGAACATTCTTGTCCTTATTTGTTGGCCCTCAGTAATTAATATTTTGTCTACTGTAATGCTTCTGGTCATATAGAGCCTTAATGCTATTTATTTGGAAAATCATCAGACAATTGCTGGATTCCTTTGTTAAGCTTATACAGCATTTTATAACTATATTCCTTTGTTATGCCCCAGTTTACCTGTTTGGGAACAGGGTTAAACTATATCCTCCCATCAACATAAAATGGTTACAGATATAGCATGTCTAGTTGTAAACAAATACTATAATCATATTTTGATTGTAGATGCCTGGAATGATGCAGTCAGTGATGCCCGGAATGATGGCACCTCATATGTCTCATGGTCCCATGCAGCCAACCGGACCGGTAAATTTTCAGTTTACAATTTGAAAGTATTTGCTGTCTGCTGTACTGATTTCTGTGTTTTCCCCCCAATACAATACAGTATCTTTTTTCTATTAGAACAATTCCTGAACTTAAGGAACTTTTTTGCTAATTATTTCAGATTTATATGGTGAAAAAATGTTAATGGTTCAGAGTTTTTTCTTAGAGTCAGAATATGATTATTTCATATTTCATTATAAGGTAGCCTGAGATATTCAAGAGGCTCATCAGTAAAATGCTGATATTTTCATTTTAAAGATTGTGTTTGTATAATGAGATGTATCAAAGATAGCTATGTTTAAAATTTATAGATATTTGAATTTAATTTCATTGTTTTACCTTTTTTTTTTTGGTTGGGAAATGACTGTCACATATGCAAACTAATAATTTTGCTTTCCCCCTTATGCGTTTCATTATGTTCTTAAGATACTGTAGAAAAAAACTTTACCTATTAAGTCATAGGGTATGAGGAACTTAATTCTGGGTGAGATGGACTAATATCCCTAGTTTAAATCTGGAAGGATTTGAAGAGAAGTATCTAGATTGTAAATAGTAGGTAGGGACCAGCACCCCTTTTGGCATTTGAATTATATGTCCCAACCCGTGCTTTATATGTACACACAAAAAATGTACAACTAATTATTTTACTTGTTCCCTGAATGTCTAGTTCAGCTTTCATAGTTATCTGTTGTGTAAAGGTAGCTTGTTTTGATTCCTGATGATTTAATAGCAGGTCTAGATTACCCTGATGGTCTCCCATCCAAATATGAACCAAAGGAAACTCTGCTTAGCTTGATAAGGTCAACTGTGTGTTACAATCTGAAAACCAAATTGATGCCAAATTCATGGTGTGAATGGAGACTGAAATCGGACACGAGGGGGTTGACAAATCAGTGAAAATGAATTATAGAGAATAATCAATATATTTGTTGTTGTTGTTTAGTCGTTAAGTCGTGTCCGACTCTTCGTGACCCCATGAACCATATTGCGCCAGGCCTTCCTGTCCTTCAC